AAATGCAATATAGATTGCTTATTATCACATAGATTGTTAAATACTAGCTAGATTAATATAGATTGTTAAATACAATAGGCCTAGATTCTTATCTTCGAGAGAGACTCGTCGCTTCGCGTTTTTCAGCCCCCTACAATGAAGAAAAATGAAAAGAAGTAATTGACGGTTTAATTGGTCAGGCTTTCTCCTATGCGGAGCTGTATCAGGATCTTACAAAGGATTATTCATTTTAAAAGACGGGGAAATAGGAATGAACTTCTAGCTCCTTTTCAGCTGGCATTGCATTGAAACTTAAGCTCATTTGAAAGCGTGCTCTCATGGTATCGTATTTAATTTTCAGACTGGAGGCTAGAGAACACCACAGAATATTTTCTCGTGGGTATGGAGACGATATTCAACAGCTTCGAGTGTGGAAAGTAGGCTGTTTTTTTAATAGGTCTTGGCAGCCAGTAAAAGAGGGGAAAGGAAGCATTACTAAGGTCAGTTTCAGATCCAAAATATTTATCTCTGGATAAAAAAAGAAGCAAATATTTTAATTTTGCAAAACGGTGAAGTACGAGTAGTAAAACATATAAACGAGAAATTAACGTAAATGAAAAGCAAGCTATAAAAGAACTGTACAAGGATCTATTTCCATCTGCAATAATAAATTGGTATTAAGCCACTCTGAAATGGAATAATTGATCCCTAATAACATATTTGTGCGCACAACGGAAATAATACAATAGAATTAGGTGCATAAATTATTCTCAAATACAGAAATCATTTCAAAGACTAATTCTATTCTAACAAACAAGCCGCTTTTTGAAATAATGCAGAGAAATAATATTAAGCTTATGATGCATAAATAGAAGACCTTGTTCGCGCTGTTTCAAAAGAATACGAAATAAACTGTTTCTTCGCATATTGTTAGAAAAGTCGCATCTCTCTACTTCTGTGGCAGCCTAATTCTCATATCGTATTCTTTCTGTGCAAAGTAAAAGACTTGATGTTAGAGGACGCTTACATATTAGTTCATTATGGGTTTAAATGTATATTATAACGCTGATAGAGTATGTATTTTAATTGATAATGCTGAAGTTATAAAAAGGGCTTATTATAACCTTCTCATCAGAAAAAAAAAGAAAATTTCAGCATTTAGGCAAGAAAGCGTTTAATTTAGGCAGGAATTAACCTGGGACATTGTAAGAATATTGAAATTTCTTAACTTCTGAAACTGATTTATCGTTGAATGTCATTTTGATTTGGACTGTAGCAGCTGCCATAGGTAAAACGGGTTAGTGAATAGTGCACAGTTCGCTCTCTAATACTGGTGAAGAGTATGATAAAGCGCTTAAGTTTTTTTTCTTATACGTATGTTTTAATATTATTTTCAGCTGGTTTTAAGCAATGTGTATCAAGAAAGAAGCACACTAATAAATTTTAAAGTAAGAAATATGTTGAAACTTATAAAAACTAAGAAAAGCTGAGTTTTTATTAGTTAATTAATTCATAATTTTAACTTTCAGAATTCATCATAGTTTTAATTTCTTTATTCATAATTTTACCTTTCATAGTAATTTATTATTGTGAAAGGGAGTCAAATTTATTCATTTTTTTAAGAATCGTATACTTCGTTACCGAAAATACGTTTTTTACAGAAAAAAACAAGAAATAATTTTTTTATTGCTGAGACTTGTAAAAAGATTTAGATTTCCATTGGCTATACCGCAAAGACTATTTATCACATTTACAAAACATAAAAGTAGATAACTCTTAATAAAATCAGCATTTTTTTATCATCAGTTAGTTTTCTCAAAATTATCTCTTGAATAATTTTCACACATTGTAAGGTGTAACATATTTATGATAATTTGATAGGTCTATGTAATAAAAAATATCTCTTCTTTTATTATGATGTATCGTATATGAAATATCTTAGCCAATGGAGAAGGAAAATATCGGAAAATCCTGCATTTATCTCACATTTGAGAAATTTCTTATTTAAACCTTTATTATGAAGAAATCAGACTTCTGACGTCCTTCAGAGTAATAACACAAAAATTGTTTCCCATGCAACATTAAAAGAGCGTTATAGCATTATGAGGATAAACATACATAAAAAGCGCTATAAAGGCAAAAACAGTTTTAAAATGGCAAAAGTGTTCCAAATGTTAAAACATGTACTTTCATTCACAATTTAATCCATGAATGTCACAGCAAACAGACATTCTGAGATCTATGAAGAGACTGCATCTATAATTCTATACTAGTTATGTGAAATTTACTGTTTTTTAGTTAGAAAAATTATTTTATCAAATGATATCCTTACTTGAAAACGCAAGTTAACACATGACCGCTATTTTAAAAATTTATTATTGAAATTTATAAATAACTTGATGGTACCCTTTTCGAACAAAAGTTTGAAAGTAATTTCCTAATTTGTGAGCCATTTTCAGATATTTCTTTTTACAGGGTTCATAGCCACATTTTAGTTAAAAAAAATAAGCACCTATAAGCACTTTTCAAGCCCATTTTAAGAAAAAAAATAAGCACCTGTCTAATTACATCATACACAACTGCATAACCTTAAAATTAGACTTGTAATTTAAAATATGAGAAATGAAGTACTTTTTAAGAGACAACAAGCATTACCTCAACCATAAAAAATAATTACTTTTTTTTTTGTTTTTTGTTTTTAGTTTTAAATAATAGTTCAATTTACAGAACTTGTTTACAATGAGAGGAAAAAAAAAAACTATGAAGAACTAAACTATATTACAAGATTTAATGATGAAATTTCAGTTCAAAATAGAGAAAATAAATAATAATAAGGTATATTTATTGTATTCGCTTGGAACCTAATAATAAATACAATTTATTTTCCCACTCATATTGATATTTAAATAATTTAAATCTAAATTCTGAACATTTTCTAAACTTTCATCGTATATCAGTTTTCTCTTAACAGATATTGCAAGCAAAGTAATTTAAGTAAAAAAGAGGAACATTTCTGTAATCAGAAGACAGAAATTTGCTTCATTCAGTCATCTTTAACAGTAAAAGGTTAACTAACCCGCACACTTGGAAATTGGCGAATATTCGGACAGTCGAGCGTAACTTGAAGGAGCGGAGGGGGGGGGGTAGACTGTAGCCGCTCTTTAGATTTTTCCGCTAAATAAATGCTTTTGACATTTCAATATGTGCATCATATAAAAATAAACCAACGGAACTAAAAAATATTCTGCTTAGGCAAGCACAGTAAAACTCTTTTAAAGTGTTCATAAACAAATCTCGAACTGAACATCAAAATTAATTATTTCTCTGCAAAATATCGCAAACGTTACTCTGCGCAATACGTGCGCACCGTAATTCTTCCCTACGTGATATTACGCAATCGGAATCAAAACTGCCGGTATTGGGAGAATAAAGAACTAAATAACTGGGGTGTTTTTCATTCTGATTTTCAACAGATGGCGTTAAATTTCTGGAATAGAATCATTCTTCGCTTGGGTTGGTAGACTGCAGAACTTTTAGTCCTATTCAATCCAAAATGACAAAAAAAAAAAAAAAAAAAAAAAAAAAAAAAAAAAAAAAAAAGGGGGGGGGTCCGTTGCTTGTTTTGCAGCGAACTGTAACGGTTTCAATATTCAAGATTTTGCGGAGAAAGGCGAGACCTCCCAACCTTCGTACTGTATAATATATTGGCCAAAAAATGAAATTATTTTGACTATTCGATTACTTTCCCTTTATTTAAGCCATTCCGAATATTATTCCTTAGAAAGCTAATCTGTGTTAAAACAGAACCATTTTTGGAAGTTTACTATACTTCAGCAGTTACCGCAACTATGTTATCATAAACATTCATACATATGCTCATAATATAAGCATAACGATCATAATAAACACGAATATAAACTGACCAAGCGGAACGAGAATGCAAATTTTTAAGATCTTGATAGAAATTCAAACGTGTGTAGTATTTGGGTGGGAGGAAAAGAATGCCGAGGTGTAGCGGAATTTTCTACTGCTTTTCGCAATTCTTTGACCATTAGAAGGACGGGCACCTGTCTGTACTCTTCGTGCACACCAAAGGTTATGTTAATGCAGAGAAAGGGGGAAAAGCTATTTCCGGGAGTATGACTCACCATCTGACATTCCACATTAGGAAGAAAAGTTGTTTATTTACCGGGAAAAATAGCGCATTCATTAAAAAAAAAGCACTAAAAGGAAAAAAAAAAAAAAAAAAAAAAGCACTAAAAACAAAAAAATAAGGGCTTTAAAGAAAAAGTAAGCACCTATAAGGGCCTTTATATTTTATTTTCAAATATAAGGACTTATAAGCACTTATAAGGACCGCTACGAACCCTGTTTTTAGGCTCTCAGTCTCCAATTTCCAGGCTTCCGAACTTAATATCTTTTAAATATAGATATAGAAATTAAGATATAGATCTTCTTGTGCTTAATTTATCGTTTAAGTCTGAATATCGCCAGTTAATAGGGCTTCCATTTCCAGACCCATTTCATCGAAAAGCAAATTCCAAAAATATCGCTTATTGCTTCTACAAGTTTATTTCCTGCATTAAGAGATCGTTTCCTCCCCAGACAGGTTGCTATAAAACCTAAACGCGGAATATAAAATCATTCTTTCAATGACAGATACGTATTATATTACATTCAAGATACAGTGCTTTTGAAGGAAAGTACATTTAATTGAATGAGAAAAAACATGAAACAGTAGATTTTAAGCAAGCTATCATGCCTTACAGATTAAATGCTTTAATTAATAATTTTTAATACACAAAAAACATTTTTTGTTTAATGCTTAATTAAAGCATTTACATACATTAAAACTGGACTACTTATTGTTATTTACAAATAAATTTTGTACCTGAAACAAAAACGAGTATAAAAATATTTCCATTTTTTTACTTCTGCTAAAAGCTATGATGTGTTTGAGTGCTTGGGGGAATAATCAGGAGCAATAAATAGGCATGTAGAAAGAAAAGGTTCAACTTTACCTGGTAGGATTTTTTGCTGCATCTTCGGCCGCAGCAACTTTGTAGGATGATATTTTCTGCAGAAGAGAAAGAGGGTAAGGGAGAGAGGGGTGGTGTGGAGGCAGGTCTGTTTGGTTGTCCGTTATATGGCACTTCATGCTCCACAAATTCACGATCCTAGAAAAGAGAAGACGAAATTTGAATAAAGCACAGATCTAAAAATACGTAAGACATATGTGTTTGAATTCATTTTTATGTAATGTAGCTTAATAATGGTGCTTATTTCTTCAAATTTCATTAGAGATATATTTCTCATTCAATCAATTCAGTTGTCACTTCGCGGCAAGGTGAAAATACATAAAAACTCTGATCATCTTCATTAAAAATTGTAAAATAAAGAAAACCTAAAGCATCAAATATAGTTAAAAACTGCTAAAAAACAATTTATACAATTAAGATTATACTCCTCCTCCAAAGCAAACAATACTGCCAACGGGCAGGAAGACGAACTTTTCGGTGCACAAAAATGAAAGTTAACTTTTGGTCTAACTGCGCAAACAGAACCTAAAGTTGTTGCACCAACCGACTTAATTGACTATTCTAATAAGAGTTTCAAATGTACGCAAATGGCGGTCTCGTTAGGCCTAGCGCCACTCAAGCTTTTAAATTGATGATCATTCCAAAACTATTGCATGAAGATTAACTAAAGACATAAAAACCTTAACCGAAACATAAGAACAATACAAATCAATCATTTTTAAAGCAAAAAATTACCAAAATATAAGAATAAAAATACTCAGCTCACCAAGCTGGGTAAGAGAGTAAGTGTATGTAAAGAGTATGTAAAGAGAGTAGGTGTAAGGAAAAGACGGAGCACTGTTGATGCGTAGTCATCCTATATTGAAGAGGAAGTATTCTGATTACGTCGTAAGCTAATGTGTTGACTTCGTAAATAAAACTTGGCAGTCGAGGCGATTTTAATTCCATTTTTATTTCCAACTGACATTATGTGGCCACAGATCACTTGGCACCCTAGTCGTACCTGTTCAAGAACATTTACATTATTGATATATTTGCAATAGGAAGCAGCATAGCGAAACTGCGTCCGAGCACAGCACAGACAGAAGCTGAAATGCGTAGTTATGAAAGATGGAAGCACGCGAAGAGAAAAGTTTTGGTTTACAATGGTAGTTTCAGTTCCCAATTAATATATACATTTTTTTAATATAATGGAATTCAGCGCTGCGCAGGTCATGCAAAAAAGAAAAAAAAGAAAAGATATAGAAATGACACAATGCAGAGAAGTTCTTATGATTTTTAGAATAGAGAGAGAGAATTAATGTTTTACCGTCAGTTTAAATTATAATTTTGATTCAAATATTTTTTATCTTACATATATGTTCGGTGCTGTCGATTGCAACAAAAATGGCAGGTGCATAAGCGCATGTTATAGCAGTTCCGTATACAAAATTTCAAGATTCTAAATCTTATTGTTTTTGAGTTATGCGAGATACATACGTACGCACGTACAGACGTCACTAAAAATCCTTTCTGAATCCATTTTAAATCCCTTTTAGAATACGTTTTTTAAAAGATATATTCCTTTATTATCTCCGTGCGTACAGATGACACGCAAAGAAAAGTCTTAAAAAGATTCGAAAGCTTTCAAAGTGGATGTTTTCATTGAAATATGATACCCGAAATTTTTCGTGCTTACAATAGTTCGTACAAGGAAGTAATAATCGCGAATTTCTTATCACGTTTGTCCGACTACTATTTATTGACAAATTTTAGAAACGTAATTTTATCCCTGTGTAACTGGCATCAGAGTATTCGTTTTGCATTTTCTTTGAATTATTATATTGTTTACATGCAAGTTCCATATAAGTATTCGAGACTATGCTGGGATGTAAGATTTCTTCCAATGCAACCACTGGAGCAGTTTATAACAGTCTGTTACTTTAAACTGGCACTTCGCGGTCGTAAGGATACTTTCCTCATTTACGATAATTACATGCGTCATCATCACCAAACAGGATTTTAGCCAATTAGAGTATTCGAGCTGTTTTCCGTAACGGTCATCGCCATGATTATAAGTTGAGTGTTGAGAAAAATAGTCTTGAAAAGACTACTCTAAAGCACAGTCTTGTCATTAGCAGCTGAACAGCGAAACGAAATTCCATCAGCTAAAGAAAAAAAAAAAAAAAAATCGGAAACAAATGGATGCATATTTTGCAAATCCATGAATTACCCTACTGTAGTCTTGCTGGATGTAGAAAAATATCAGTTATATAGATACTTCAAGAAGTACCTTAGAATTAACAAGAAATACATAGAAAGAATTTTGTAAATGATTTCTGCCAACTGTATCGCTGCAGTAGAAAGATTTCTGCCGTCGTAGATTTTTGCGAACTGTATCAGTGATTTTCCGTATCATTGACGTAGAAATTACTATTAAGGTATGCTTAAAATATTAATTGAATGAAAATGAATTAACTATGTTTAAATAAAAGTAACTGAACAAGAATAAAAAGATTTAGTGACAGATCAGGGAAGTCAATCAATAAATAAATCGTACAAGTTACTAACCTATTCCTCATCAACAAATAATTTAAAAGTTTCTCGTAATATAGCAATTAATCCTAAGAAATCTTTTAAGGTTTGTCTGAAAGTTATAATACTTCAAGATATTTATTTAAAATACTTAATGGATTAAATAATCGAAGTATATTTAGCTGGCTTAAAGTTCAGAATTAATAAATCTTAATGTATACGTATAAGGCAACGCATATAAACGTATAAGGTATTTTCTCCTTCCTTTTCGCATGCCTTCGTGGTGTAATGGGAAGCATACTCGACGCGTATTAGAGAGGTCCAGGGTGCGACTCCCGGGAAGGGGACTGCGTATTTTTCATGTCTCCAGCTTTAAAAATCTCGAAGACTCTACAAACGTATAATATGCATGTTGTACGTTTTCTAGACTAATTCAAAACAAAACGAAAAGATCCTTTTATTTATTATACATCATTCTTTAATGAAAGAATTGTGTCTGTAGTGATTAAATCATATAATGATGTTTTCGGAAAAATAATAAATGTGTAAATTAAAAAATTGTTTTAATCATTACGTCCAATTTCAATATTGCTCAAAAACCGCAGAAAAAAATATTCAAAGTTCGTTGATCTAATTTTAAATGATAATAGTATTGAAAAGTGCAGCAACAAAAGATAAAAAAATCCTTTTATTAGATAAAAAAATAAAGATTACTACTCCACTAATTCATCTGCATTTTTTTTAACTTATTTTGAGAAGAACTAGAAGTTGATTACGAAAAGGGAGTGCAGATCTGAATTTTTTATTTTTGTACTTGCGAAAAAAATAAATTAAATATCAATTAACCAAGAACAGAATTTTAAATTATGAAAGGATCGTAAATTATTTTTTGCATTTGACAACACATGTTGAAATGATTAATGACAGTTATTACAAATCTTTTAAATTCGTTATATTGCCAATATTAATAACATACGTACATAAGTTTATTCTAAAACTAATTAGTGTTTGTACAGAAGGACTAATGCTCATATGGTAATTACATTTCTTGAATAATATTTTTTAGAAAACCTTATTTCTTTTCATGTTAAAGAAAGGAATTTTAAAATGTTATGATGTTAAAATTTCTGAATATTTTATATGTAGTAATTTTATGACGCATATGACTAATTATACTCATTACTTTATAATTATTAGAGGATATGCTTTATATAGAGAACAAATTACGTTTTCTATAAGTAATATTTTGATTCGGAATTAAAAAAAAATTGTTTACTGTTTTCTCAGACTTGTACAGTGATGGCACGGCGTATCTTCAAATTCTACAAATTGTACGATGAGACTAATTGCATCTAAATTCTACTGATAGTGCTTCAATGGTAATTATACCTTCAAAAATACTCATTCTAAAAACATTTAATCGAATATCGCAAAGAAAATAACCCAGCGTAAAGAATCGAACAATCTAACGTAAAGAATCTAATTATATCCGGAAGAAACTATTTATGTTGATTCAGAAGAAAGATTCCTCCAGACGTGCGCAGTTTATCCAACGTTGTTTTCCGAATAAAATAGAAGTCAGTTTTTCTAAAGAATGCATTAATTACATTAAAAATATCTGAAAGCTTTCAGATTTTATACTAATCCCAAAGGTTAAGGGTTAAGGGTTAAGATAAGGGTCCAAAGGTTAAGATTTTATACTAATCCAAAGGGGGTGTTTTTTTTTTTAAATTTTGTATGTTATCTTTATTTATTAAATATTATGTTCTTCCTATTTAAACCATAAAATTCAATTCAACAGCAATATCACAAAATACTTAAAAAGGTCATAGCATTAGAATTTCAATACATAGTATCGCACGCTGGAGATTAATTTTTTTGTTACCGTGTTGCCATTTTGCGCTTTGAAATTGTTGAGTTTGTTAACCAAAAATTCGTTAAAGTTTGGGTTAATAAATCTGTCAGTTTTACTCTATTCAATTAATGATCAAGAAAATTACTTTAAAGAAATAAAATGCTATCGTCTTCAACTAAAATTTAATTAATTAATTTAATTAAGTTGTTTAGTTCTAAAAAGTTGATTATGAAATTAATCTTTGGCAAAAAATTCATTTTTTTGGAGAAAGAAAGAGCAAAATCATTGGTATATTCACAAAACACATTTTACACTTCCAGAACTTAATTTATTCATAAGCATTAAAGCATATGAAAAAATTCAGATATACGTTCGGAAACTTCATTCTATCTGCTTATTTTGCATTCCTACTCAATATTAGGATGTCACATATGGTGTCAAACAATAAGAAAGTTAAAACTTTAAAGAAAGCGATCATATATTGCAGAAATTGCACAGATTAAAGAGATATGTTATTACAAGAAATTTGAAAATCTGCTTTCCATCATAGCAATACACATTTTTAAGTAATGCATATTAAATTTCACTACATAATTTAAAATCGTAAAATTCATATTATTGCTTTCATTTCATGAATGCAAATTCATAAATTAATTAATATATAAAAGGATAATATAAGAAATAATTTAATTCTGAAATTGATAGCTCCATTTATTATTTGCTTCAACTATGGATATTTTTATTGCAATACAACCAACTAGCAGATTTTGAAAGGTTTTGGATTTTAATACCTAACAAAGAAAAAGTAGATTTTTCCAACTTCTTCCTATTCATAAGAAACCTGTAATGACCAAAGACCGCATTTCGATGACATAAGCATGCAGGAAGACCACGAACATGGAAGATGCGCTAAAAAGAGCTCATAATTTGTCATCGGGAAAAAGTATATCATTTATTAGACCTCATTTTTCGTAAATAAAAACTTCAAGAAACACACTTTATATTGGTACTTAATTTTTCATATATATTTTTATTTTAAAGTTGTGAAGGTATTTTTGCACTACCCTGTATATTACAAAAATTTGAAGATTAACGTCAAACTTTGAATACATAAAAATAGATAAAAACATATAAAAATCATAAGTATTCAATTTACTTTTCTGAATTATCATTAATATTCAAAACAATCTGTATACATTATTGAATTAAACAAACATTCTCTATTCGTAAAATGCAAATTTAAAGTTAATTTAGACTAAATTTAATGCAAACAAATAAATTATTAATGTTGTTGCGAACTAATTTACAATATCATTTAAATTCTGAGAGCATATGTAAATCAAGTGCAAGTATCAAATTCATGAATAAATATAAAATTCTAAAAATTATTTAATCCTAATAATTAAGTAGTGTGTTCTGTAAACTTTAAATAGATGGCGCTAAACTAAGGTTGAGTGTAAAGCTGCTATTCTGTGATCAATTAAAAAAAAACTATTCTGCATACTTTAAGTAATGTAAAATGTGTGCTCTGTTGTAAAAATGTGTAAAAAAATTGTTTAAATTAAAAATATATTTAAAGTTTGCAGAACACACTACTTACACACTTAGTTTCGCAATGCTTCTCCACCCCCCCAACAATATACTAGTTGGTAAGTTAAATTAAAATTTACTATTTACTTACCTTTTTAGTAATATTTTTAAGTATAATTTATTTATGTTTTTATCGATCATGTCTAGTTTCTTTTGATTTATATACATAATTCGTGTAGGGGAAGTTTCTGTGGGCAAGAGTTTTTAAACTACTTTGGTTTTCTAAAAATTTGGTTTTCTACTCTTATTTTTTAAATTTTTTAAAATTTTTTAATTTTAACACTTGTTTTTTAATTGCTAATTTCTCAAAATTCCACTTGTTTAAATTTCTTTTCGGTTATTCACCGCATTTGGTATTGCTTTTGGTTTGACTTTTACTCTTGACTACATGAATGAGGAAACACGGATTGAATGATTGAAGAGTTAGGTTTGGAGGCAACTTTCCCTTGCTAAGTCTGTCTCCTGCCTGCTCAACAATCATTCACTTATGCATTTTTCCAAATAATGTTTTAGGATTATAATTTTTACAATTTTATATATATTCACGAATTTGATACTTGCACTTGATTTACATATGCTCTCAGAATTTAAATGATATTGTTGATTAGTTCACAACAACATTAATCATTTATTTGTTTGCATTAAATTTAATCTAAATTAACTTTATATTTGCTTTTTACGAATAAAGAATGTTTATTAAATTCAAATTTCATTCCTTGCAGCAATGGCTCAAGAGAATTATTTAAAATTAAATTTAACTTTACTTTATTCTTTTGAAGCAATTTTGTATATATTATTGTTTGCAATTGTTATTGTAAACAATCTGTATACATTATTATTTGTTTGGTTATAGTATATTAATTTGCAGAGTATGTCAAGAAGAAGTTGAAGACCATCCCATTGAATAATGGATAATATTTTTCTAAGCGGTTCTAGGAAAGTAGTTTAAAATTTACCGTCGTTTTCTCGAGACATCTCAGCAGATGGTGATGTTGAAGCTCGAATATATCATCTGGGAAATCTTCCACTTCTTGTCCGCTCTCCCTGGCGGCTATCCTCGCCTCTACTGCTTTCTTCTTGCTAACAAAGGCTGCTCCCGTTGTCGCTTTGGCAATTCTGATGCGAGCCATTCGAGCTTTCTGCGAAGAGATAATAAATGTATTCATCAGAAGATTATGTAATATATACTTATTTCAATATTTCTCATCTATATATAAATGCTTAAACAAATCTGTTGAAATAAGTATACTATCAATTATTTAATAGTATACTTATTTCAACAGATTTGTTTAAGCATTTATATATAGATGAGAAATGTTATTTTCATTTATGACAGTGTAACAAAAAGTTTCATAAAGTCTTTAGCATTTTTAAAGTGCATCAAAAATTTAAAAACTCTATACTACCCTACACAATCTTTCTCAGAATAATTTTTGAAACATTTTTTCAAAAATATTTCTTTTATAAAACTATTTCTAATATATATTTTTCTTTTATCTCTATTGTAATATCTTGTTATTTAATAAATAAATATAATATTATTGTTGAAGTGACAACGCCATATTTGTATTAAATGTCAGTAACCTGAGGTATTGTTTTTAAAAGACAGGATTCTGAAGATTTTACAGCTAGGAGTAGTATTAAAATTTTGCCACTTAAGAACTGTATGAAATTTGTCTATCACTGTGAACTAGAAAAAAAATATATGTTCTACTAAGAAGATTGTCTGTTTTGTAAATTACTGCAAAATACATTACACTATATATCATATATATCATATATGATATATATATTTTATGTGTATATTAGAAGATAAATTTTAGTAAGCTTGCCAAAAAGTTACCATAAACTGGCTCCGGGAAAACTCCAACATAAGCATATTTAGTTGCTATGAAAAGTGTGAAAAAAGAGAAACATATTTGAATATTTACAAGTTAAAATTAATAAAAAGTAAGCTATATATATGCTAAACAAATTAGGAAATTTTTAACGCAGTAAAAAACAAAAAACAATTGAATGAGGTAAAATAAAAATAGTAAGCTATATGCTAAATAAAAAGTAAATTATAAAACACAGTAAAATACTAATCGATTGATCAAGGTAAAATACAAAAAATATATTAAAATTAAGAAGCGGAAAATGGTTAATTAGCTCAAATTCGAAGTTCATTTTGGCTTTTCAAGGGAAATTTATTTAAAATGAATTTCGAATTAAGCTAACTCCATTACTCGTTTCGCCGAAACAGACAATTGAAACTTTGCGCGACAAATTTTTTAATGAATTAAATAAACTATGTCTAAAAAACTTTAGTCTCAATTCTCTGTTCCAATTTCCCGACGCGTCCGCATATATTGACACATTAAGGTTGACACATTACATAAAGGCAATTCCGATGTACAGACAAAAATAAATAAATAGCGATATGCTATTAGTCAAAAATATACAAGAACTTATGGGCTGGACCTGCGACCTTAAAGAATTAAAACTTTGCTAAGAAACCGTAAATTATATTTAAATCAAAAAATAAAAAATAAAAAACAAGACGACAAGCAGTATGGGTCTTGCCAAGACCTTTATAATAATATTTATATGTATATATATTTATGTGGTATCCGTAAGTGCAACACAGCCACCAGAGGGCCTCACCTATGCGCCAGCAGCAAGAGCGAGGTGAAAGAGGAGGATGACATATAGACAGACAATCTTCTATCCCACGCGAAGGTGGTAAGATGTCTCCACGAGAAGGTGGTAAGACGTAGGTCTACACGTGAATGTGGTGAATATAGAACTGTATGTTTCCACGAGGAGGTGGTAACTTGACTGCATATACTACAGCTAGTGCGAGTAGGCGCTAAGCTGCTATTTAAATTCTAAAAGTTATAAAGAACGGTGTTTATATCTAACAAGACCGAGAAGGCGCAAGAGCATTTGTATTTAATTCAATCTGTACCTTTTCTGTTATTTTCATTAAATGATTAAATGTCGTCTATGGTGTGGAAAACGTTGGAATTGTTTATTGAATCTAGCAAAGCATCTTCAACTCCCCAACCACATTTATATGTATATATGTGCATGTATATATAAATAATATATATATAAATAAAATACGTAATATTTTCGAGGCGTAGTCGTGATAGCAGAGCGGGAAGACGGGACGAAGATGTTGATACCGAACCAAGTTCAGATAATTACCATCTTTATTACCAGGTACATTACAGTAATTCTTCGTAGACAATATATTTTTTTATCATAAATAATTACAATAATTTCTTATATACACAGATTAACGGGCGATATCATTTTAGACGGACAAGCAAAGCAGCGTGGATCTTGGCGTGGTGGAAGCTAGGAGAAGAAGATGACGCAGTTTATTTGCGAGCGGTATTTATACTAAGTACATGCAGAAAAGTACTCTAAGCAATGACTGGTTAATTTGAGGTTGTTGTTTTATAATTATGGAAGGATCTCGAATTTGAGAGAACAGATGAATTTTGGGAGAGAGCATCAAATCTAGAATACTAATTTTGAGGTCGCCAATTATTTTTAAAGCAACTATTGTAGTTTCTTATATCTTACACATTCCCCCCCCCTTCAAAAAAAGATCGGGAGAGCAGGGTGACAGAAAAGCATTAGTGAATTAGCGAAGCAAGAGAAAGTTTATTATATGAGGAAACACATGAGGAAGAATCAGGCACATAGCCGGCATTTTTTTCTATGCCCTTTCTTGATTCATGGTCTTTCTCATATACAGATTATGAAATACTAAACAGATAACTTACATGTAATTAAATTTTTAAAGAAACTAAACAATAAACTAATACAAATATAATTTTTAAAATCCTCAAATTATTAAAATGTCCAATGAAAGTAAAGTCTCTTGATAAAAAAAAAAAAATTCCACCAGGTAAATGTTCAAATGTTTTGACAAAGTAAATGCTCATTAAAAATTCTTTCAAACTTTTGTTGATGAAAATATTTCTATTGTAATACAGATTGAGTTGTCAGAGTGTTCCTACATTAGTATTTCTAAAAGTTGCTTTCATTACATTTTTATTCGATCAGGATTGGATCACGTGCTACTAACTTCAATGGAGCATTTATTCCTCAGTTCCTGTAAAAAAAAATATTTTCAACAGTCAAATAAGTATGTTCGTTCATCTGCAAGTAAAAAATACAAAAGTTCGAATGTCTCGTGAAAAGGAGTATTGAATTTAGTATTTCGGACACCTCAACAATGTTTAGAAGGAAAAAAAGTGTGTTTTTAAATCACCAGTGAATTAATGCCTAAGAGATTCAGCATTTTCATTATTCGAAAGCTCAAATTTTTATCTTTTGTGTTTCGGAATTTGATTGCGTTGTTTTGCAAAAATCTGAAATTATTGTATGTGTTATATGTGATAGTGTTAGTGTGATAAAATTAAGTAACGAAGTTTATTAAGGTAAATAATTATATTTTTTGAATTTATTTTGAAAATTTTGTACTGTTGATAAGAATTTTTATGTGATTGAAATAATTTTGAAACATTACTACAGGATATGACAAACAAATCGTGTTTTTGAATATTGCTGTAGAAAATATTAAATGTTTTGCTATAGAATAGTGTAATAAAGTATAAGAATATGGGTAATTCAAGAAACTGAATAATTGTCATAAGTTGTATGGAATTATGTTAACTAATTTTAAAATTTACGAATTATTATATGTTCTGATAAAATTTGAAGGCTCCCACTTTTATTTATTTTATTTTTTGCATATAATTATTATTTTTATTTTTGTATAATGTAATGTAAAATATAATTTTAGTAATGCTATTATTTCAGGTGATGTTCCGATTTGAAATTTCTTGTGATTCTGTGCCGTAATTAGTTGAAGTCTTTAAATTTTTTATATTTGAAAAGTTTTAAAAGTCTTCCCTAAACAGATACAATTATGAAGTTTATTTATTTTCTTATTTTATATTCACAAAATTATGGTCCATATTATTATTGTAGGGCAGTATAGCATTTTACATACATTTACATTCCTAATTTTTATATATTCGTTTTATATTTTTATATTTGTTTTACTAATTAATTAGGTTGAAGATTTTTATGGCCATAAAATAGAAATGCTAACTTTTATAATTATGCAATATTAGAAGACTTACTAAGGAACGGAGGCTTTTAGTTTCTATTGTATTTAAGCCTCTCACAGCCATCAGCAAGTTGCCCATCTTTATTAAAGTTGATTTTGTTACTGTACTGAATTTTATTACTTATCAGCTTATTACTTACAAACATCATTAAACATATTTCACTGCGACACTGATCAAATAACCTTTATTTGAAAAACCATTTCTTCTTCTCTTTTAGATTTTTGGACCTGCAGAGACTCGATGACTTTCAAAGCACTTTTGAATACGCCGTTGAATCACTTTCATACTTGTTGAAAACACATTTTCTAGAACTTTGTTAAAAAAAAATTTTCGCGCACCATATTTCGATGTTAATATGACCTTGGCCTGATTCGGAATTCAAGTATTTTATTCATATTTTAAACTATGATAGCTTACTTGAAATCCATTGAGGTGTTGAAACACAGATATACATACTGATCGACTACAATTAGTTGTCGTGTTTTACTGCGTAGATGAAGGAATCCGGTATTTTAATTTCTGGCCTCCGAAGACATTTTATTGCGTAGTTGGAAGGATGAATGCATAAACCAAAAACTTTCAAAACATAACTTTATCGCAGGGTAATTCATATCAGATAATCTTTCTGTACATAAGATATTTTTCAATCATAGTTATTTCCATGTACTACGGGTTTTAAAGTACGACGTCAGGCAAGTAAGCAGCAGCGTGGATCAGGCGTGCCTTGCCAAGAGGAAAGCGTAAGCGAAAAGGGGACGCCGGAATTCAAAGAAAACAGGGAGGGAATCAAAGGTTTTTCAGTTCGAGTTAGAAAAGTTTTGGTTTACAATTATTTTGATTGGACAAGAAGTATCTGCATTAAGCGTTACGTAACATGGAAAGATCTCGAATTTGGGAATTTAGGGGGAGAGCATAAAATCTAGAATCGTTAATTTTAAGGTCGCCAATTATTTTTAAAGCAGCTATCGTATTTTGTTATATCTTACATATAAATATATATATAATTAGAAAACAATTCTTTTGAAAACAAAACACAAACATGCCTAGCATTTTCGCGCATTAAGCTGCAGAAAAATTATCATTAAAGACATAAAGTAAGAAATTTAGAACTAATATTTCACTAAGACCAGAAATTGAAATTAATTATTAATAAATTTCAGATAATCATATAAATGCAACAAAGAACTTTAAAATGTGAAAAACAAAATATTTCAAACAAGCAAAACCCCTCTTCAAAAATTTATTGAATTTAAAGAAAAATAAGAGAGATTTCAATTAATTTCAAAGTTCCTCCCCCCTTGATGAAGTGACATTGAGGTTGATTGAATTCCTCTTCTGTTTTTGTTCATTTTTCTTTAAATTTCATAAATTTT